TCAAGGAGATCACCATCTAATGTGGAAAGACAGTGCTTAAAAAAAAAAAGCTGAGACATGCGAGTGGGGGAGGGAGGAGAGAGAGAGGGGAGAAAGTGACCTGGCATAATGAAGTCCTAGAGCCAGAGTGAAAAGTAGTCTGAGGACGTGAGAGTTTTACAGTTGATTTTTGTCTCGCAGAACAATGGACTTTCTAATGATCATGAGGTCCAGAAAAGGGGACAGATGGGTGAATTCTCTGGGTGCCCTCTTTAAATGGGGGAGGATCTGAGAGGAACTCTCCAATGTCCTCTCCAGTCAGAGAGAGGGAGAGGCCCCAGGGGCAGGTAGTGCTGAGAAGGTGTGATTTTTCAGTTGATTTCATCTTGCAAAATGCCATGAATACTGTCCCCAAGAAAGGAGGGAGGGAAGGAAAGGAAAGGATTTATTAAGCACCTATGTGCCAAACACTGTGTCAAGTACTTGGCAAATATGTAATTCAGTCTTCACAACAACTCCATGAGATAGGTAAGGTGTTGCATATGGCAAGCACTGAACAATATAACAAAATTTGATTCACTATATTTTAACAGACTGGTTATAGATTTGGGAGTCAAATCATAAGTAGTCATAGAGTCAGACCACTGACTAGAGCAAGAAACAGTCAAAATAATATCAAATTAGAAGAAAAGATAAAGGGAAAGTTACAGCTACAAATCTGACCTATTCAAATAAGTTGTTGATGTTGCAAAAAAGGGAAATGGAAAAATGCAAATGTTATGACTGGATTATAATTTCCTGCAAAAGCTTACCTGATATAAAGCAGTTACCACAACAGGTAGGCCAAAAAAGCCACAAAACTACTTTAACCAATAACATGATCTCTTTGGCACAGTGCCTTGTGTTTAATAAATGCTTTTTCACCAAGTCACTCCTTGATATGTGTAAAAACATGGAGCCAAAAGCAATATCAGTTTAGAATATAAACTCTTTTGTTAAAATACTACAAAGGATGGTGGCAGATTATAAGCAGTATTACTATATCCTGTGCTCAGAATTTATTAGGAGGAGGTAAGCAGGCAAGCTTGACTTATAAAATTGTGTAGCATTTTTTAATTGATCTCAAGCTTCTTCCTGAAACAAATACCTATATTTTTAAATGATATTTTTTCTAGTGGAGTCTATGACTTTAAGTCATAGAATGTCATAGTCACTGAAGAAGTGAAGTTAAAATTAAAGGACATTGGAGAAATACGTGGTGGTCATGAGCAGACCACATGCCAAGAATTCCACAGGATAAACATAAAGCCATCACAGAAATGTATGACTAGAAAAGAAAGTGGGCCAAATGTGAATGAGGGATAACTAATAGATAGCCGATATGCTTCCATACTGTGTCAAGAGATCTAGAAAAAGCCCCCAACATCCTCTATAGAGAATTTACATAAGGATGTGTCCTAAAACAGGATGAGAAGGCATAGATTGGTTATGATCACTGTCACTGGAGGAAGTACCTACAGCAGGGAGATCACAACTGTATCAAAATATCCAAGTGTCACCTCATATGACAACATAAAGTGGTGAAAATGAGGACAAGTGAGGTCAGCATCTTAAATGCAAAGCATTCATTAATGAAACAGGCAGGAGGCCAGCAAATAGATGGAAAACAGAACAAATTTTTCAAAATTTCCATAATCTGTCTTCGTAATTGGTGACAGAGGAATCATCGTACATGAGTCCTAGTGCCTCAGTCCCTGATGTTAAGAAGATAGTTGTGCAGAGCAGCACTAGACCAGACTGTGAGTATATTCAAGAAATCTAATAGTAAAGCAACCATGAAAGCACTGAAGGATTGTTTAATAAGATAGCGTAGGTAGGGGAACATATCAAAATAATGGAAAAAACAAACAAACATGGACTGCATTATTATCCAAAAAGATGAGACCATTAATAACTAGAAAGCTACATGTATACTTTCTCATCTGTATACAATCTTTAATGGACTGTTCCATGCATATATAAAGAATATCTTTGTTGAATGTTGTAAGGGTATAGGCAAATTTTCACAAATGTTTCTGTAAGGCAGACAATAATCTGTCAGTTCTATTGAATAAAAGGTGCAGAGAATGCAAGATCCCATTTCAGATTTTTTGTTGTTTCAGAAAAGCATTTGACTTGATAGATCAATAAGGGGACTCATGCACATGTTAAAATCATGCAAAAACCCTTAATAAATGCAACTACAAAGATAACTATTCAATAACATTATTATTAAGATAAGAGAGACACAAATGGAGAGAGAAATGCTTGGCAAAGGCATTTGCCACTGCACAGAAGATGTACTGTGCAAAGTCCAATAAATGGAAGAGAGTTTTTCCCTTTAGTGAGATATTCCTCTTTGAAAATAATATTATAATCCAGATCATTACCTCATCAGTGAGCCCATGATTTCCCAAAAGAGATTGCCTCAGAAATCCATATAGGAAAAACTAAATGGCTCAAAATTCCCATTGTCTTGACTATGATATATAGTTAGGTGACTAGACCATTGAGTTGGTGTGTGTGTATATCTGCAACATGGGTTGCAGATGGATAGTAAATTGTCTCAAAATTGAATGGGAGTGCAAAGACAGCATATTGGACAGGAAGAAGAGAACAGGATGGATTGCTTTGGGGGAATTTTGCAGTTAAATGATCCCAAGCTACTCCACAGCATAAACACCATTCTTTTACACAAATGTTTTCCCTGTGATACAATGTCATTAATCATGGAACATCAAAATGTTAAAAGAGTTGAAGTTGCAGATGACCCAAAAGATGGTGGGCAAAAGTAGGCTGCTGCATTTGTGACCTGTGTGCAAGACATGGCATAAAAGATATGTCACTCGGGGCAGCTAGGTGGCACAGTGGATAGAGCACTGGCCCTGGATTCAGGAGGACCTGAGTTCAAATGTGACCTCAGACACTTAATACTTACTAGCTCTGTGACCCTGGGCAAGTCACTTAACCCCATTGCCTAGCCAAAAAAAAAAGATATATCACTGAGGAAGTTAACGACTGGAGATGGAGTTGGTCTTGTCATGGATTGGGATCAAGGGTGGTACCCAGAAAATGTAAAAAGACTGACAAAAGGACCTAGCATGTTGGGTGGATCCTTTGTGGAGCATGTGTGGGAAAACATTGACAAAAACTAAACAGATAAAAAGGCCATGAACAGGTGAAAGTCTGCATCAGTGGTCCTTGGAAGCAGGGATCCTAGATTCTCTTTCAAGTCGACAATAACCTGGGAGTAGATCACTTTTCTCAGCCTCCATTGCTTTATTTGTAAAAAGAGCAAATGTGGAAATTGAGCTCCTTGGAAGCCCTTCGAGGTCTAATAGGAAGCTTTAAGTATAAGGACTCTTGTTAATTTAATAGTATTAAAAGTTTATTTTGAAGAAAATACTGATCTTGCTTTGAGTGGCTAAGTCTCTGGCACCATCCTGTACTCTTAATAGAGGCAGTCCTTTAGACTCCTGCATCCTTCCAACTGCCCTAGCAGTCAGTTCCCATTGGATTCATTTGTTCCTTTTTAGTGTATGTGAAAAATGGTGAAAACAACATGACCAGCTCTTGATGTCTCCATGCAAGAAAATTCCTCCCACATTCTCCTGTTGTTTTCCTACAATCCAGGGGATGCTGTCAAGAGCTTGATGTAAAAGCAAGGTTACTCCTTCAGCTAATGGCATTTTCCATTCTGCCAATTAAATGAATACCCCTGAGAAGGTGTACCCAGTGGGTTACCAGGCTCTAGTGTAGTCACTTCTTTTGGTCACAATAGATGTGGGTGTTTGTTCAGAAAGGAAACACTTGTCAGCCCAGCCCTGGACCTTCTATCCTTCTGGGAGACAGTGGTCTCTGTTGCCTGTCTCGTCTTGCGGGTATTGACAGTATGAAAACCCCCACACAAGAAGCTTGCTGTTCTAATTGCTCATGTGGGTGGGAAGCATAGGTCACATTTCACTGCTTAGCATCAGAATGCTGTTGAGTCAGTACCCCACGGTGCATGATCTTATTCTGGAATGAGGGGAGAAACACTCCTTCAGTGCCCTTAGTCTCAGCTGGGGGGGAGGGGTTGAAGGGAGATACTTTCTAATTCCAAGTTAATCTTTCAAAAGGACCCCCTTGCCCATTGCCAACTGCATGATGAACAGAGCCCCTATAAAATGTAGATGCTGTTTGGTCAATGAAGCTTTTTAAAATGACAATTAGCATATACCCAAAAGAAATAACATTGAGCAAGAGAAATCAGAATAAGGGTAAGAATTTTGCTATAACTGGTATGTGCTGCCCTCCTGGTACACTTGGGACTGACTTCCCACCTGGAGTTTTCTCAAGGAAGGATTCTGATTCCCCAGTTTCTGGTGGGGCACTATAAATCCAAGGGAATGCCACAGTACCCCAACCTAGGCTTTGTATTCTTAGAAACTTACTTTGTTGTTTCTCTATCAGGACCAAATTAACCATTGGGATGAACAAAATGGAGAGTGGTCATTGAGGTGGGGGGAGTATTGGGGGAGCACTTTCTAATATGCGAAAGGGAATCACTCCCCTGCTTTTCCACCTTTCATCAGAAACTGTAAGCATGTTTCAATCTTCTGATAAGCCCATAGGTTGATAACTGTAACTCCCAAGTTTGGCCCCAGAAGGGAAAGAGGCATTTAGCATCAGAAATGTCTTCTTCCACAGACACACCTAGCCAGGTAGAACACAAAGAGTATTCTGGATTGTACTTGATGACTATGTTAGCTAATCACCTTTTAATTTAACCCTCTTTTCCTTCCATGAAAATAAAGTTTTTGTAAATTGTTTTGGAGGATGGTTATTTCTGCTTTGCTGGTCCTGGTAAGAGAAAGTGAGTATGCCTCATAGCATTTCTCCCCTACTCACCTCATAGCCCAGGACTGGATGTCTTTAGATGAAATGAGTAAGGAAGCTGTGGTCCTCAGACAGAAACAATTCTTTATCTCATGTCCCTCCTCTCACCAGATATGGTAGCTGTTGGTGTCGTGGATCAGGCCCTCTCCATCAATGCATTTAATCCAGCTGTAATAAGATCTGGGGTGTATCAAAGGTGAACTTTAGGTGCCTTCCCCTACTACCCTACCCTAGTGGATAATGACCTCTTAGAAGCTTGAAAATCCCTTTGTTCATAATTTCCTAAACCTTTCCCATTTTACACATACCAGGAACATTCCCTAAGAAGCATCCAGATACCAATACCCAAGCCAATAACTAGCCAGATGTTTAATACATACCAGACACTGAACAAACAAATCTGCTTTACCCTGGCTTTCCCTGACCCTTCCCTAGTTCCCTCTTCTCAGCAGGGAGGGGGCCCTGAATCTAGATTTCCTGGGGAGGGAGAACTTGCATATTGTACATGAATTCTGGGAGACAATTGGATTTTTTTTTAAAGGCTGCTCAAAGTTTATTAGTTTCTGTTGAGTACAAAGTAAACAAGTTACTGAGGCTGCTGGAGAGCGCATAGGTGATTCACAGTAAAAAAATAGCTGTGGGGTTTTTTTAACTTGTTTTTTGGTGTTTTGCTTTTGTTTTCCTTTAAAACACACACACACAGCACAACTACTTCTACACTTAAACAGCCTGGCTATTCTAAGGGAATAGTTGGGAGAGGGAGGGGGGAGGGGAGGGGAGGGGAGGGGGAAATGGGCTCTGATGCCTAGCACACTTCCGAAGTGGGGATGGGGGCGGCAAGGAGGGTGCTGCTGGTCCTGCAGAAGGCCCAGTGCTGGTCTTGTTGGGCTCACTCACACGCCGCTCCCTCATGGCCTCCTGAGCCAGGTCACGGGTGATGGTGCCATGAACAACCTGGAAAGTTCCTGAGTGCTCTGGGGATTCCCACACAGTTGTCATGAATGGATGACTCCACTTCCCGAAGAAGAAGCTTGCCCACCAGTGGCCTGGGTCTGATTTGGGAAGACCAGGATGATGGGGGATCACTTCTCCAGAATTCTCAGCACTTCCGCAGGACCTGTTGCTGGAAGTGGAACCCAGACGCCTTCGGTAGCAGTCATGGGTTGCTAAGAGTGAACCGCTGGATGGAATTGCTGCCATGTTGCCAGTTCTTGTTGTGATGATGTAAACCTTAGTGGCGGCTTCCAAGCAGCCCGTCAGGCAGTGGGCTGCGGGGGATGATCACGGGTGACCCGGCTTGGGGGAAGGGGGTGCTAGGCCACAGGGCCCATTTGTAAACAAGATCACGGGTGGATACTCCGTGGCAATGAAAATTCAAGAGTTCTTTGGGTTTGATCTGTTGTTTCTTACTAGGAGCAGTTTAGCATATCGCCTACATATGATTAGAATTAGACCTAAACCAAGGAAGCAGGATCACCCTTCCTGTACATTGTCCTGATCCATTTTTCCCTTTTAGGAGCACATAACTGCGGTTAGAGAAGGTAGTCCCACATCTAGGAAGGACTCCGCCCTTTTGCTGCTTCCTAAGTGTAAGCCTGTCTGGGCAGAGCAGAGCTAGGTCTCTGGCTACCCCGACATAGGTCCAGTTAATATTACCTAATCTAATGTGATGTGAGAAACTTGGACTCCCTTCCTGTACCAGGAGGCCTTCCATTGGAAGCAGTAGAGTCCCCTACAGTGCACAACATCTGAACTGCCTAGGGCCAGGGACCTGAATATAGGTCCAGGCTTAGAGGCAGAAGGTAAACAGGAGTAATTGCATGGAAGATGGTGAGGGCTAACTCTGTACCTTTCCTTTGGATCCCTCCCAAATACCTGCTTCTTAGCCCTGATCCTCTGGATGAAAGAATTCCATAAAAGATTTCTTTAAGACCTGCCCAGACTGAATCAGGAACCAATAGGACAGGCTTGATGCTCTTCTCTTTCCCAGTGTGGAAACACAGCCTTCCTTGTCCTCCGAAGAGCAAAGCTGAACAACCAAAAAGTAAGCCCAATCTAGTCAATGCCACAGCATTCGTATCCTCCTTGTTCGTGGCAGGAGTTGTAAGGTTAGTGAAGGGATCTTCGCCACTTCCTAGTTCTGTGATCTCATGGAGCAAGTTGCTTACCTTCTCTTGACCTCAGTGCCCTCATCTTTAAAGTAAAGTGCTTAGACCAGAGACCTCTACAGGCCCTTCAGCTCTAAAGTCCTATGACTAAGAATGGGATATGCCAGTGTAGGGTAAAGTGGGGACTGTGGGATCCAACAGCTACCTCTAAAGTGGGAGCCTATGTCTCAAGTGGGGAGGATGCCCATATTCTGTCTCCTGGATTTAGAGCTGGAAGGGACTTTGGAGGCCATGGAGTACAACCTCCTCATTTTACAGATGAAGAAACTGAGGTACACAGTGGTTAAATGACTTGCTCAAGGTAGAACATCTATTTTCTGAGGTAAGATTAGGCTTTGCGGTTTTCACCCACTGTACCACATAAGTTTCAAGGGGAGAAGAAAATACTGTGAAGTCCTTCATGCCCTGCTTCTGTCCTTATGGAGTCGGCAGTATGAGGTGAGACCAGGATAATAGCAATTGCGTACCCTGCATAAGTAAAGCATTTGTCTTCTTCAAGTGCTTTTACATCCATCATTCATTCACTTTCCCTTGCTAGGATTCAATTTCCCCATCTCTAAAATGAAAGAGTTGGGCTAAACAATCTCTCAAGCCCCTTCCTGCTCTAGCATTTTTGTTTAGAGCCATTTTTTTTTTTTTACAGGTATTTGGAGGGGTTTGAGGGAGAGCTCAAGCAAGTCACTGCTTTTACTCCCTTTACTCTAGCATTTTAAGATTCCCTGACAAGATGATCTCTAAGGTCCTTTCTAGTGCTCAAAATTATGACTGTGACACTGTGAACCTAAACGAGTCCTATAAAATAGAGACTTAACCCCACAGATTATGTCCATCTTACAGATGAGAACATTTGAGAAATTAGATGATCTGTCCCAGGTCTCGCAGCTAGTTACTGGCAAAAGTGGGATTAGAAGCCAGGTCTCCTTACTCTGCATAGAGTGATTGTCATTACAGCACACCACCTCCATAATAGGATCACAGGTCTCACAAGCCAGATCTCTAAAGCCTCTTCCTGTCAAAGTCATCTATGGATGCAGCCCACTCCCTTGGAGTTCCTTCCCAGAGAGCATTGGCAATATTGGCACCATCTTCAAATTCCTCTTGGTTGTGCTTTTTCTAAAAGGCTTTATTCCCCTTGGGTAAGAAAATGAGTAGCTGCCACTGGCCTGGGCTCCTGTCTCCCTCTCAAGCTCTTGGCTCTCACGTCTCCTCATCATGAGAAGCTCCATTGCAATCCACGCCCAACTGGCTATTTTAAAGCCGACTGAAGGCCCTGCTAATACAGGTGGCAGCAGTGCAGTCATCTTGTGCACTCTCCTGGGCCCCTAACGATAGCCCTTCAAGCTGCTTACATGACTAAATGACTCTTCTTCCCAGACCAGGTGAGGAACTATCTCCCCAGGGCTGTAACAGCAGAAGAGTGTGAAGGCTAAAGAGGAGTAAAGTGTGAGATCTGGAAGTTGGCAGTCTCTGAGGCATATCAGGTGAGGTGGGAGCAGGATTGCCTTTTCCCTCTGGGGTGATGATCTTGACCACAGAGAACCTGCCCCCTTCTGCCTGATGCTGAGGGGTAGTGGAACTTGGGAGACTTTAAAGGGAAAAAGGCCCTGAGGAGCCGCACATCTGCTTGCAATAACTGCATCAGCTGGTGGCAGGATTCTGAGTCCAAGACTGGAGTCGATCCTGGTGAAAACTGTACTTGTGTTCTTCCCACTCTGAGCCCCTTTCCCCCTCCCCAACTGCTGTGAATGCAGTAGCATCTTGTGGATCTGTAGCATTCTTCTTCCCTGGGGCCACTGGCAAAACTAGTTTTTCTCCCCTTTGGCCACATTGGGCAGATGGTGTGATTCCCACCCACTCCAGCCTGATGAGGGTTAGAGAATGAGCTTCAGTATCCTTACCAAGGCCACATGGGGCCTGGAAATGATGAGAGAGAGCAAGGCTCCTCATCAAAGGCCCTGGTAATGCTAGATGTGGAGTTTTCTAACAAAGAGAAGGAATCCCTAGGGGCTGAGAAGGGGAGGAGAAGAGCGAGGATGCTCCAGGCATCTATGAATATTTCATTAAATAAAAACTAGAGTGAAGTTGGTGGGGGGGGCAGTGCTGAATAAGTGATGGGATCCTTTAGGGAAATGCCATTCCCTGGACTGGACTGAACTGTGGATGTAGGGGCTAAGGGACATGGAGAGAGGGAGGTGCTTGGGTGACCCTAAAAGGCCTCTGTGTTTCAGTTTCCCATGTGTGAAAACTGCAAAATCTCCCAGTTCATAGTTAAAGTGAAGACAGAATTGGAGCATGGTGAGGCTGGCCAAGGCAGCACATTCAGAAGTCCGTTTTTTTAGTCAACAAGCATTTATTAAGCCCTTCCTATATGTCACCTAGGTGCTGGGATAGGAACACCAAGAATGGGGAACCAAGGTCATCGCATAGAGATGATCGAATAGTCTAGGACATCATCCTGCCAGAGAGTGAGAAGGTTCTTTCCCTAAAGCATTCACATGGTTCTCAAGTGCCCAGGGTCAATTGTTAAATTTCAGGATGGCCACCTAAGGCTAGCCCTCAACTCCTGGCCAGCACAATGGCTGCCTCCAATCAAAGCTGTACTAGGGACACAGCTGAAGCCCCTCTCTGTGTTAGCGATCATACATAACAGGTGCTTTACCAGTGTGATGCCCTTCTTCCCCACTTTTCTAATCATCCTAAAATACTGCTTTCATTATTTTGCTTCCCTGCTCAAAACACTTTCATGATTCCCCATTGCCTACAGGACCAAATCCAAACCCTTTAGTCTGACATTCAAGGTCCCTCCTCAATTTAGTCCCAACCTATCTGTTGTTCATTAATATGTCCAACAAACATAACTAATCTTCCTAAACCTGACTAGTCAGATTGGTTAACTCACTGTCCACCAAGAATACTTCGTTCATTCCTGCTTCCATACTTTCATTCCTTCCTGAAGTTCCTTCTCTACTGTGCTTCACTTGTCCAAAGCCTACCCCATCTTTCAAAACCCGGTTCACATCCTTCATTCTTCAGGAAGCCTTTCATAATCCCCCTATCCCACAATAATCTCTCCTTCCTCTGAATTCATATAGCATATTCTGTTTATCTAACTCATTTGTTACTGTTTTATGGAGGTTGTATGTAAACTATGTAGGTTATATTTATGTCCACGTAGGTTTGTCTTTGGTTCACAAGGAGGCATGAATAGGCATCTGTGGAATCTTGTCTGCCCCATTCTCCAAGGACAATTTTGATTCTTGCCTGAAAGAGAGCATGAGATTGGGGCCACAAGGCTGGCCATTCTGCTTTCCTCAAACTAGAACCTGACTAGTACTAGACTAGAATTATAATCCGTTTGACCTCCTAAATACTGTTAGTCTAGGGGAAAATGATTTTTAGGTTCAAACTGCTTTGCTGGGTGCTGTTCCTTAAAGGGCAAGAAGTGCCTCAAGCTATATCCAAAAATGATTTACTTCCCACCAAATGTTAGTTACAAAAAGACCATCATAAATGGTGAATAGTAAATAAATCCATTTACCCAAGCAATACACACAAATCAGAGAATTTGTACAGATTAAAAAATAACAGGTAATACACCAAGCAAATGAGCTGTCCTACTGGGAAGAAGATAAATCTCGACTTCCTAATCTCAGTAAGAAATTCCCAAAAGTCTCTAAGGAGGCAAGCTGGAAATTAGGGATATTCAATCAATCAATAAACATTTATTAAGCATTTACTATGTGCCAGGTGCTGTGTGAAGCATTAGGGATACAAATAGAGGCAAAAGACAGTCCCTGCCCTCCAGGAGCTTACAATCTAATGGGGGAGACCCAATGTAAACAAATATATACAAAGCAAGCTATATTTAGGATAAATGGGAAATAATTAACAGAGGGAAGGCATTGGAATGAACAGGAATTGGGGAAGGCTTCCTGTAGAAGATGGGATTTTAGTTGAGAGTTAAAGGAGACCAGGGAGGGCAGTAGTCAGAACAGAGGAGGGAGAGTATTCCAAGCATGGGGGACAGCCAGA